AAGGGGGGGGGGGTGATAAAGCTTATGTGTCGGGCCAGTAAAGCCCCTTTCTCAAGCATTGATGAGGACCGGGATCGAGGATGGCAAGACCGTTTTGTCCGAGTGAGGACTTCAGACTTGATTCCGACTGAATGCAGGCCATTACCCGAGAAGTGGTGGTGCAGCCGTTGCTCGGGTCCCAAATGCTATCCCTCGACTCAAGGAGTGGGTCGAGGGTATCGTTTCACAGATGCCGTACTCCAAGCGCTTGTAGCGCAAACTCTTGAAGGGCCGTTGGGAGGCTCGTTCCCATGGCGAGACTTCTTTCCCGAGTAGGTTGTGTTAGGATTCTTCTTTTAACATTAAGCCCTTACTCCCTTTACTTCTTTTTTGTAGGCTTATCTAAGGATGTCGAGATTCGGCCTCCAGTTAGTGGAGAGGACTTACCTGTCGAGTCCCCTGCTCTGAGACAGGCCGAAGAGAGTAAAAGGAAGAGGGCTCCGAGTTCCCCGAGCTCGGAGAAAAAGAAAACAAGGAGAAGGCTGGTGCGCATGCCAAAGGAAAACACCAGCTCTCGAGCACCAGCTTCAGATTTGCTCTATCGGCTGAGGGACGAGTCCGAGGGAGAAGAACCTTTCGTTCTGGTGGCCAGCGAGCTATCATAACTCAAATAGCAGGGGGGCTCTGAACCGGAGATCCGTGCGGCCGATCTACCTCAATCCAGGGAGGTCGATGAGGAGACCGGGGCCGAGGCTTCCCGGGATGCGGGAAGTGCCACAAAGGAGGCACTCGCATGATAGATATCACCGAGTCACCCTCATTTACCGAGTCCATGTATAACGAGGCCCAAACGGTGAAAGAGCACCCCAATAAGGGGGCCTACGAAGCGGACGACCCCCTCCGCTGCTTTTTTGATGGTGTGGATTCCACCGCCAGGGAGGACGTCACCGGATTAGGTGACTTAGAGGTACCGAAGAAACGTTTGTCATCGGGGGCAGGCGGGCCTAACTCGAGCCCAAAACTGATCAACCGGTTCCCTGCCCCTAGTGCGGATCCTGGTCGGAAGCGGTCCATTGTCATCACCATTCCGGAGGATGCCCGGGTTCTTTCCGCCCCCGTAGGCGTGGCCAGTTACCTCCAGGGCCTAGTGACCGAAAAAGACCAGGCCAAAATGAACGAGGTAGACGTGCCCTGCCTGTTCAACGAAGTACAACAGGTGCTGAACTGGGTAACTCTAGATAATTCCTGACGATTTCAATTTTTCCCTTAATACTTGAACTAATTTGTTGATAATTCTAATATCTTTCCTCCGGTATCGGGATGAGCTAAACCAACTCGAAGCTGAAGTCAAAGAGCTTGTTGAGAAGAGATACACGCACAAACTTCTCAGCGAGCAACGTGAAGGAGAGGCTAAGAGGCTTCG